CGGTAGGTGATTCCGGTATGATCGATAAATGATACGGCTTTGAGTTCGAACGATTCGTCCCGAATCGCTTGAAATTAAACCGGACCATTCCGTTGTATTACCAGGACTCCGTGACGAGTGTGGAAAACATACGAATTTTCTAGATGTCCGCGAAATTATCGATGAGATTGTTATACCTGTTTGTGATATAATTAAATAGTAAAGTAAACGAGAAACGTAAGCTGTTCCGAAGCAGATTGGTGGAATGGTAAAACCGTATTTCAATGAAAAGTTATATACGTCGCGCTGTCACGAAGCTACACCCTCAAGACAGACCGTGAATTGAAACCGTAGGTAATACTTTGGGGTCCACGTCGCAACAACCTTGGAAAGCACCTTGTCTAGCGGAAATATTGACTCGACGAGACGAAGTGCTTCGCGTTTCCCCGATTAACTCTGGCCTCGTTTAAATCCGTTTCCTTCCGTGCGGCTCCCCCTGGAAATTTCTGTCGTCGACGTTTCAAGACTGCGAACAACCGAGCCAATTCGTTAAAGTTTCACACGGAAATCGTATTTTCCACGGCGCCGCGCATTCGTCCGTTCTTGTATCGGTGTTTTCTACTGCAACCGATTCGAATAGCGTTCAACTCGCGGTTGGAGAATAAGGTACAAGTTACGATCACCTTTAAAAAAGGAAAAAGAGTTATACTACTGTATAGACGGTTCAAATTTATGCCAATCCTTAAAATTCCGATCGTACGTACGCGGTGCAACGCGAGCCAAGCCGATATCGCGACGAATTTTAGCCGATTTCGCCCCATCCATCGTAGAATAGGTCGGTACTCGAATATCGCGTTCAAGATCCTGCTCGCATTCTCGATTAATACGCGATAGATGAGAGTGTCGAAGAAACTCGTGCCGTCCGATCACGAAACCACCGTTCGATTCATCGATATTCTAAGCAACGTTGCCCAAACGAGCCACCCATGGCGGGAGTAAACGTAACAAATGTCGTTTGAAAAATTCACGATGGGTAGGAGGACGATTTTCGAGAGCAGTCTAGCCCATATATAAGCGTAAAATGTTCTTTCTGCATTTATCTATGACTGAGCTGAATGTATATCATTGTGGAAGTGTGCTCGATAGAACGAACAGAAAGGAAACGAGAAGGAGAAAAGGATTTCCTGCATAATTTATTTGAAAGTAACGAATATTAAGATAATCAAAGAGTTTCATTCTCGTCTGTCAAGTTGGGTTAATTATTTTAGGGAATTTCATCGGACGATAGGTAACCGGTCGCGAGTCTGTATGACGGACAGGTGTAAAATTGGACTGCGGTAAATCTTAGGCTGCTGTCGAGCATAGCTTTCTCGCTGAAACGTGGATTAATTACGTAGGTTGACAGTGCTGCGGTTGGTCGGTCGGTGTCAAGCGACACCAGCGTTCAGGAGATCCTCCTGATTGCGAATCTCTTCGTCCTCCTTTCCCGACGCGAAATCGCGTGGAAACGGCACGCCATCAACGGCCGCGACAATTTCCAGGACCCCGCGAACGCTATCTCTCGCGAGATAGAATTTTGGATGAAGTCTCGCCCCCTTCGCGGAACTCGTTAACACCCGCAAATACGATTTCTTTACGAGCGAAAATTCCCTTGTGACCGCCTCGCGTAACCTCGCGTAGCCAGAATTTTTTCGAGAATCGCACACGTCGATCGGTGATACGTTCTTCAGGAAGCAGGAAATTGAAAGATTCGCTGAAATATTCGACTGTCAATCGTACGACGATTTTTAACCCCTCACGATCGGTATACCCGCTCTGGACGAATAAGTATAGGTATGTACCGTGTATACCCGAAAGAATATTCCCAACCCCTTTTGAACGTATTCATACGTATACCTATGTAAATTTATTTAATACTTTTTTCTTCTGTATCTACGTAAAATTGTGAGAATAATTTTCAAAGTTGCTATCTATAAAATTCAAATATAAAATTCAAAGCAATTTCAACTATGATAGTACTATGCAGCACGGCGCGCGTATTCAATCGAATTCCATTTATACAACGTCACGAAACATTTTTCGAATACTAGCTCAGTTCGCTTCGCGAACTAGAAATGTTCTACGCTTTACACAATTTTGTAGTCAATTTTGAGTGATTATCTCGAAATGAACCACGTTATGACATATAATAATTATTACACAGTACATAATACATTGTGAAATTTGCCTCATTATTCATTCATTTTGTTTGCTACAATCTGTTTAATACATCTCCTGCCTTCATTAAATGGAAATTACTAAAAGTTCGCATACCCTCTATTGATAAGGACAATCAGTTAATGGGCCAAAGGGTAGTTTCAAACGATACCATGTGTAGAATATTTTGAAACGAAAGCGAGAGGCTTTTCGGTAGATTCGGTAATACCGACAGATAAATTGATAAATTTGAAAACTCACAGCACGATTCGTGGAATCGTTGAACGCGAATTAAGCGCTGACTGACCCGTTTTACTATCGGTATCGGGCCCTGCTCTAATCCCTACCTCTCATTGATTACGTGGTAATTAATTGGTGATTCATTATCGAGCGAATGATGATAGACGTTTATAAATGTAGATACGCGCAAAGTGTTTGATTTGAATACCAAAGGTGGGATTCTATCGATTGGACTATTTGCCTCTCTCGTTCGCGCGTACAATGCCGTTCCGCTGTCGGAACGCCTATGTACGTACGCGTATAATACAAACATCGTTAACAGTGCAAACCGCCGGGACGAATTGTAATAATTTGCCGACTGAAATTACGTAATAAAGCGGGTATATAGACGCATCCACTCGTACAATGAACAGCACACGGCGCATTGTAATTTACCGGCTGGATGACGAATATTCCGCCTACACTTCGCTCCCCGTAACGCAATATTTTTTCATTGAATCGTTCGTAATTCGACAGGTACGCGATCCGAGTAGATACGAGAGAAAAAGCTGCCGAAAGTACCGAAAGTATCTCGTTATTAATTTATTTTCGTTCGAGTCTGAATCATTGTCGAGGAAGGAGGTCAACAAGACTTTTATCTCCATTTTGTAGTTGCAAAGGGTTGCCACGGAATAGTCATTGCAATCTACCGAGGGAGTTTAAGGATTATGTGAAATATCGAGAGAGAGAAGAAATCTAGCGGAATACAAGGAGAACAAATACAAAGGGAGAAAATAATAAAGAAGGATAGAGACACGTGGGGTGTAGCAGAGGTCCACAACTGGCTACAACCGACTCTCCCGTCCATCTCCATTTAAATCGCGTTGCTCGGCGATACTTAACGTTAAAAATGCCACCTCTATATTACCCGCTCGAAATACCACCAGTACTTTTCCCCTTTCTCTCTTCCCGTTTCTCGACCTCTTTCCGTTACGTTACTAATAGAATCTCAGTTTTTAAACAGCAAAATTTAACCAACTGATTGGTAAAATTTAAACGAGTCGAACCGTCGCGTTGCATCGATCAAGAGATGAATCAATTTTCTAATTTTATTATCGTCATTTAGAGAAGATTAATTACACAGCTATTTTGAACATCTCTGTACCAGCCGCGGTCCTGAAGCTCGACTCTTAAAACTCTCCCTCTGCGGCAGCTACGGTCGTGGCAACGAAGCCAGCCGTCGGACGTTCAGCCAGCTAGCGCATCGTTTACGCGGCAATAAGGAAAACTTATTGCCGGCTGGCTAATAACGAACGATTCCCACGCGGGATATCCCATCCTCTTTATTTTCCGGTAACCGGAACTTTACGACGCGTGGTCTTTTCCCAAGCGCGCTGGACCAGCTGCCTCCTCGGGTTTAAAATCCTGAAAACTGGAGCTTGACCAGCTGCTTGAATCGGCGCTTCTCTTCGTTGGATCGTTCCGATCGTCGATACGCGAGGGATGTTCGTTCGTGTGGTCCACTCTGTGTCGGTTCCTAACTCGCAACGAGCTCGACACGGATACGTGTCTGGAAATTTTCATCGGCTTTCATCCGAATTCGTTTCGCAACTCTACGAACGGTGTATACCAATGGGCAAACTGTGCCGTTCAAAAAGAAACAGTCAGAGTAAGATGGAACGAATCACCTGCTACTTGTTCGAACGATACGAAGAGGATCGTCTTATTGCGATCCAAGTAACTGAAATTGAATTTCTTTTTCACGACGCGACGTTTTTACCTATCGCTAGATCTTCCGAGTTGAGGAAGGTCAAAAAATTTATTCATTAATCGATCGAAAATTTTCATCCTTTCAATCAAAATGTTTAATTATTTAAGCTTTTGATCATTGGAACTTCCTTCGATATTCTAATAAAATATCATCGCGTTTAATTCAAGCGTCGATTTTATTTTCCGTTCGCGGTTACTTACCGCAACCACGGGAATCCTGCAGGACAATTTACAGCGATACACAGGGCAGTATCGCTACGTTACCGTGATATACGTCGCGGTTCCTCGGGAATTATAATTACGAAAGTTCAAGGCATAAACTAAAGCGTAGATTCCAGCGGTGATACACATCTACGAGGTAGATAATCGGTAAGAAGAGTAAGTGGCACGTAACTAGGATGCTCGTTAGCCTATCGACAGCTAATAACGAACAACGATTGCTAGATGAAATCTCGGAGCACGCTCGTAATTCAACGTTTACGAAGTGTCGCGACGTCTTGAGATATCGTTGCTCGAAACCAAATACTTCTGGCCACCGCGTAGAACGCGTGAGCGCTTGCGTAAATAACATATTTCAACGAAAATATTTGCACGGCCAACAGGTTGTTCCGCGTTTCGATCGATACGTTCTGACACGTTATAACGTTACGAGAATAAGAGATTTCATGGAACCATCATGATCTCGATGGATCGAGTAAATTTCCATTGTGAAATAGATCCTTGACAATCGCGGACGCGCACCTTAAGTCGATTGTATAAATTAACCACTGCTGATTATATTGCGTAAATGATCGCACGGAATCCGACTGTTGGACAAAACAGAAAGAATCACTCACGTGTACAGGGGTACCCCGGCCTCGTCCTTGAACCAAAACACCATATGAAGGGTGTCCTCTCCCGGTGGAGTGATGTCGCATGGTAATTCCGCTGGCTTTCCTTCCACGACGCTGATGTTTACCAATGGAACTGCGAGCAAACAAGAAAAACATTTCTTTATTGTCGACCAAATATTTTCGATATTCGTGGTAATAATCATTGAAAAGTCCGAGTTTTCACTAAATCCTGACTTATCGAATTCACTGAATTCAAAAAGCTCTTATCAGTTAAATTCCGATAATTTGGGCGACTTGGTTTCTCATAGTATTTTTTATGCTGAACAAAGAATTATACAGGTCTTATGGTCTAGCTGCTTTAGTTTTCGAGATATACAATATTAAAGCTCAAAATAAGATATTTCGACGAGACTAGGCTTTTATTTCACGCGTTTTTGCAAGACAAACAATTTTTCTATTTCTAAAGTTGACCTAAACTATTAGGAAAGAAACTATTCAGGTTAAGAATCGTGCACTCCTATCTATTATTTTTATGATATTTCGTTTTTCTATTATCAAGTGTTCATTCCTAACGAAACAACGCAAGGAGGCATATTCTTTGAAAATAATCGAAGGACTCGGATGTTCGAATATTCGGTTGCACGAGAGAATCGCAGGGATATCCGGTGGAGGGTTTTTCGATACGAGAAATCCGTATATTCCGGATGCAGGCAGAATCGAGGCAAGATGATCTTGGGTTGCGATATGTAAAGCGCGCTTCGGCGTGGCACGGGATTAAGAGATTCGGCTTATGAAATTCGGTTCCGGCGTAACGCCGTAAAGCAACCGCAGCCGCAGCCGCAGTGGTAGCATCGGGCTTGCGAAGGACGATCCTTCGAGCAAGTTAAGTGGAAAGCTCGAGGGTCCGATCGCAACGGAAAGGGCGATTCCTCCGGGAATTTCCGATAGGCTATTTCGAAGAAACGAGTTTCCATTCGATTCGGTCTGTTGCTTTCCTTCTATCCGCCTGCTGGACGACCGAAACAAGAATCGAAGGTAGCGAACCTCCAAGTATCTAGAGTACCGTCCATTTTCAGGGCTTCGCACACTTTTCTCTCCTCCATAGAAAGACAGGCTTCTTCCAACTTCTTTTCATTCTCTTCAATCTGATTTGTCGTCGACGTATAATCCTCCCTGTTCGACTTACAGATAGATGGAACGATGAAAATTTTCTGTTCACGAGCGAGGATCAATTGAGAAAAATCCGAGGAAAATAGCGATATAGCGTTACACGTAACGTTATCACGGTATGCGATTAAAAATCTTAAGGAACGATTAAAAATCTGAACAGGAAGGATTAGCGAGAGCTGCTAATATTCGTTTCACGGCTATAACGAGCGCGTCGGATATAAATATCGCTTAAGGAACCACTGTTTATCATATAAACGCCTTAGGGTTGGGGCTGCTCATTTGAATTTTTGCTTTTTCACATCTTAACGGGAAACCGTGGAACGTGGCGTAACAAGCAGTTAATTTCTTGCCAAACTCATTCGGCTCTTGTACGGCAAAAGATTCGTAAGGTTTTCGCGTGAAAAGCGAGAAGAAACCACTCGAAGAAGGGAAAGATGGAAGGAAGGAAGGAGGATCCTTGTTGGATTCGTTATAATTTCATGCCGGTATTTCGCGGGTTTGCCGACGATTTAGCGTTTACTTTTTGCCTGACGTACACGCGCTATCCTGGCGTCCAGGAATTTTTCATAACCGTTGCCCGCTCCTTCCCTTGAAACTCGCGCGTAATTAGATTAGTCTCGCACCGTTGCTGTCGTCGTCCTCCTCCTCGTCCTCGACCTCGTCGTCCCTCCGACGCGACGTCGCGAAATTGCGCGAAAAAAAAAAAAAAAAGAAAGACAAATACCGGTGGGTTTAACCAAACGACCGTTAAATTAATGGCGTCGAGCGTCAGGTGTGGTGGCTGGCTAGTAATCATTTTCAATCGCTTTCATATTAGAAATGTTTTCAAATTTTAGTATAGCATAGATTTATGAGCAACATTTTTTCTATCGGTACCGAAACAAGGGCTCGTGGTTTGCAACAGCTTTGTTTCTTAAATCTTAACGATAAATACGTACCACTATCTGTCACGGTATTAATTTGGATTTGAAACGTAAATGCAATGACGGATTGCAGAAATTGCAAACGCAACAACGAGTCACTGTACACGCCAAGGCCATCAAGTTTCTTAAAATTTATGCAAGAATAGCTCTGAAATTGGTCTGAAAGAGATTAAATTCCCGTAATACGGCGAGAAGAAATTTTCCCGTCAACCAGATAACCATGACAGCGATAAAAGCAGTTTACTCTGCCGATTTTACTTATTTACGCGATGTTTCTACGTGGTTGGAGGCGAAAGCAACCGCGTGGCGACCATCGATCAGCCGCGAATAGCAGGCTGGCCCTCTCTCGCGTGTAGTTTAAATACCAGAGAAGCCTTGAAAGCCGTTTCGATTAATGCAATTCCGCAACACGTCCGCAATTAACCCTCAAAGACCCGAGGCGCTGGTTGAAACGTCCAGCGGTGTGCTAATGGCGAACGGTGCTCGTGTCGCATTCGAAACGCATTTAATGAATTCGTTATCGATCGAAATCAACGTTTGCCTCCGCGTTACGAACGAAGACGGCGGGACACGGTGAACCCAGGAATTTGGAATTTGCAATTTGTAATTTGAAATTCGGGATTTGCATCCTTGCAATTCTTCTTCCTGTCGCGGCAACGAGCAGACCAATTCGTCAATCTCGATTCGCTTAACTCCTTTGTCGTACCTGGATTTTACGAAATCAACTTAACTTATGTACACGCGTGGTCAACGGAAGAGTTCTACAAAGTAAGGAGAAACGAATGCGAAAGCTGTATCGCGGACGGTCAAAGTTGCACGAGCTTCCTGTCAAAGTTAGAACTGTTTGGAAACTCGTATCCCCGGTGTCGTATCGTTGATCACCGCAACATGGAAACAGAAAGGATAACGGAAACGGAAACGGAAACAGGCGTTTTCATAAATCTTCCACGAGGAGGTGGATATCGAACGTTCCGTGCGGTCGACCTAACGATTACGCTTTAATCGTTCGCGAACGATGCGTGTGCATCGATTCGAATTCGAGACCGTCGGATATATCCATGTAAATTCCACGTTTCTCTCCGCGAACGCTTTCGAAGCCGGTGCAAACGGATTTCCACGGCTTTTACGTGGTCGAATCGAGAAACGTAACGACTAGGTTGGCACGCGGTTCGCAACTTTACCTACCCAACTGCAACGCGGAAAATGATTTCACGTTATTTTCATCTTTCGATATTATCTCGTTCGTATCGACGGTAGCCACGGTATCCATCGTAAACTGATTGCCGACCAACGTAACCACGGCAAAGAGAAAATGATGAGCTCGAATCGAAAACTTATACGGGAACATTCCGTTTTAATTGACTACTGACCGAGGCTCTTTCAACTATACGATAGTAATTTTCCGTGTAATCGAGGAGAGACTGCTTTGACACAGTAATCAACCAAATCGATCCAAGATGTCACATTTCTTATTTTAAATTAACCCATTCGGGTGTTATGCATTTTAAACGTGTTAGCATTTTGAATTTGCAAACATTTTGTAGCGACGAATATAAATGTGTAAAATTTATTACAAAAATTCAACGTTAATTATTATTTAAAGATATTATAAAAATTTAGATAAACGCAAACACTGAAAACAGAAACGGCAATGCGAATGAAATCACCTAATTTGGCCCTGGTACCGAATAGGTTAAAAATATTATATCTAGAAATGAGTGTACCTTTTCAAAGAACGTATGTGTGCAAACGGTGTTTGTAGTAAAAGGATGAAACAAGGAAAACGTAGCGATCGTGAATGCAAACTTGCTCGCAAATTAACTAGAGTCGGGGGAGCGATTGTTAGGCGACATTATGGGGACAATTCGTACGGGAGGATGGATTCGCGAGGAAACGGGGAAACGTGGAAACGTAGAAAGAGGCGGAGGCGACCTTAGAACAGGGGAGAATGGATATAGGGATAGGGTGGAGAGAACGGTGAATCCGTTATTTACGGAGAGTGAAGTGTACTCGGGGACCCTGTGCCTTTCTGCGGATAGCATCCTCCAGTTTCGCTTGCGCTAAGCGTATCAACAGCGTCATTGTCCCCGCTTATTATCACCCTTCGTCCCTTACACTCCTGTCCCGAGTACCACTAACTCGAAGGGCTTCGCTGACAAACGCGAAGAATTAGACGACGCGTAAATCTGTTCCTTAATCCTTTCGACGCGACACAATTGGCCAAAAAAACATCGCATCTATTATTTTCCTAAATAATTTTGAAAAGAAGAACGAGCTTTAATTTTGTTTTATTTCTATTTGTAAGCCAGCTATTTAAACTAAACAGAGGTGAGTAAATTTCACCCATATTTCGCCCGTTCTTTTCTTCTCTCGAATCCTTCACGCCGATAGAGAGCGTATTTCTCCCCCTGAATCTCGAACGTGAACAAGGTAAGTGAAAGATCAGCCGAGGGTGGTGTACAGCGTCGACGCTTTCAATCGCAATTACGAAATACGATTTACCGTGGGTGGAGTGGCGATAAAATTTAAATTCACCAAACTCCCCGGAGTGTCCTCTCTTTTGCCAGGCGTTCCGTTTCGTTCTGAACGAAAATAAGGGAAGCAGGAGTTCGCGGGGGGGGGGGGGGAATTCGAACGACTGGTACACTCGAGTCGAGAGGGGAAAAATCTTTGTCGCGGAAATTCAAAGGCATAAAGTGTCGACGAAGCGTCCTGGGAACGCCATCGTGCCGACCCTTGTAAAGACGTTGAATTTTATGAAACGTCGGGGGGATTCGGCGAAAATATGTAAATACGCAATAAAACGTAAGCTCCCGGTGCTGCTTCCGTCGCCTTTTTATTCTTCTTCTTCTTCTCCTTCTTCTTATTCTCCTTCTTTTTAAAGTATCCTCCTCGCGACTTGCCGGGAACAACGCGAAATTTCAACCCTACCCGGGCCCCGTTGACGCCCAATTCCGTCGAATCTGCCTCGAAATCGAATGAGAAAAACACACCTCGGCGTACTTTATGAACCGACTATTCTTTCTCTACCGGACTCTGT